TGTAGTGTTTGACACCAATGGGATACTTACGTTCGCCGAAGAGTGCGGTTCCCACCCGTACCTCATCGCTGCCCAAACCGATCGCCTCTTCGAAGTCAGCCGTCATTCCGAAGCTAAGCTCAAGAGAGCTCTCACTAATAGCCAGACCCTCGCAAATGGACCGATGATTGCCGACGAACGCCAAGAAATCAGGATTAGGTCCAGCGCTCCAGTCGTGGCCAAAGCGGCCGACAGTCATCAGTCCCGTCAGCTTCAGGTGCGGACAGTCGGCGCGTATCAATCGCGCCAACGCCTCGGCTTCGGTGAAATGGCAGCCCGTCTTCACGTCTTCGTCGCCGGAGTTGATCTGAACCATCACTTCCAGCGTACGGTTGCGCACAGACAACGCCTTCTCCAGACTTTGAGCCAATTTGGGCGAATCGATGGTCTCTACGGCCGTCAATCTGTCCACTCGTAACAATTGGTTGATTTTATTGGTCTGAATGTGTCCAATGAGTCGCCACTCGATGTGCGGACACTCGGCCACAATCAACGGGTCCGCACTCTTGGCGCACAACTCTTGGATGTAGTTCTCGCCGAAGACCCGCTGACCGCACCGGTAGGCCTCCACTATCTTCTCGGGCGGCTGTGTCTTCGAGGCGGCCACCAGTTTGACCGACTTCTCGCCCCCACCCCTGGCCTCAGCTCTTCGGGCGACCGCTTCCGACACACGACGCCTGATGTCATCCAAATTGTGTTGGATTTGATCCATCGATACGTCTGAAGACACCGACGAAGACATCCCTTAAGACTATTAAGCGATTGAATGACTGAATGGATGGCAAAGGGATATAAACATTGAGATCACGTGACTATGCGTTGCCTCTCAGCCAATGGGAGGAGACTTTGATTGGTTTGCGTTTGATTTGATTGAGTGTTAGGTTTTTGTAGTGAAATGTCTATACTTTGGTTCACTTTATCTCAAAACTCACTATAAATTACTTGAATTTGTTTTATGTTTTATTAATACAGTTATCGATAGTGTAGTACAGAGTGTACTGTTGTGTACACACTGTATATACAAATACAGTGGCACTCATTGTTAGCCCAGATTCTGGTGTCATTGAAAACAGTGCTTATGATATGAGAGACACACAGAATAATAGCAAGAATTGACACCAAATGAAAGTTTTGCACTTAAAAGTTATTTAAACATAATTTTAGTGAAACTATCTTTAATATAAAATATATGAAGAGTTATTGATTTGAACAAAAATGAGTGATAAAATTAGTTATAATTTAATATTAAATAAGTTACTATTATTCTGTTTGGCTTTTCGTTGCTTATAAAGAGTTTTGTATTCATTAAAGCCGAGCCTTAATAGCGATAATAATGCGAAAACGTTTGCGACGACAACCATATAGAAGACATACCCCCACCCGAAGCCCTCCACATAACCGGCTATAGCGGGTCCGACGGCAGCCCCTATAGAGCCGGTGCCGTCTATAATGGCCGAAACGGTGGCCAAAGCGCTCTTCGACTTGATATTGATGG